AGGTGGTGGAGATACTGCCACTTGCTGTGCCAAATGGAACACTGAGGAGAAAGTCAGCCATGTGAGCACTGGGGGTGGTGCTAGTCTGGAGCTCCTGGAAGGTGAGGTTCCTTCCTATTATCCTGCTTGTTAGTGGGTGGGGAGGCTGTATAGTGAGACATGGGTGGAATGGAGAAATCAGGTACGTAGTTTTGTCAGCATTAGCTGGGCAGTAAAAATGGATGTACTTCAAATAAAGTTCTTGATTCCCATTTGAGGTGGGGATAGGCATAAAACGTTTTCCTAGAGAATTTATTCTCTAATAGACTTGGGACCCAAAATGCAAAACTTACTCAACTCCTGGCCATAAGGAAGAGCTGATGTGTTATTGGGAAGATAAAGATCTGGATTGGTGTGGGCCCTATAGTAATACTGTCTCTGTGTGTATACTTTCTCAAAAACAGGTAAAGTTCTTCCTGGGGTGGATGCTCTCAGCAACGTTTAGTGATTTCCTGCCCTTTGGTTCCTGTACACAGTCCTAAGTCAACTGAGTGCTTTCACTTTGGCATTAGCTTGTCAAGATTCTGCTACTGGCAAGAGATGAAGCACCAGGAACCCTTAAAACGTATTCACAGCATCTCAGCTCGTAATGGCACTCTGGATTTTCCTACATTCTTCAATTTAAATTTCTAGTGGCTAACTAGTGCTTTCTAGAATGTGTATATTTATATTTTGCATGTTAAAAGAAAGTGAGCTTAGTTCTTCTCTTTAAATAGCTTACTCTGATTAACTTTGTCATTGTATTATTACTGGAATGGAAATAAGAAATTCCAGTTTTAAGCAGGTATGGGGACAAAGTTGATAATCTATTAAATAAACAGTACGATTGTCCATTTAAATTGTTTTTTGTTTTGTTTTTTTAAACCCTGTCATACTTTGTTTGGACAGGTGGGAACAGAATCTTGAGGGAAGGGATCAAATAGTTTAAATTTCTGAAATTAAATGGAGCAGCAGCAGTAGGGTGGTGTCAAGGGATTAGATAAATGTTTAGTGTTTTTCAAGGGCCTACATATGGCAGACACAGTGCTAGGTGCTTTATTTTTATCAGTTAAACATGATCATAATTTTTAAAGTCAAAGCTTATAACAAAAAATAGTCCCCACACCATATTCCTCTGATTCCCAGAGGTGACTGCTTTCAACTCTTAGCTTTTCTATGGTGTTTACCTCCATGTTTTTAAGGCAAGATGCTAATATTGTTAATGTCTTGATTTTTAAAAAGATTATTAGTAGCTTCCATTCCACATATACTTCCCTATCATTGTATGTGTAGTTTTGTAATAATTATAGATTCTATCAGTAGTCTACAGTATGACTCTAAAATACAATTCACAGTTGTATGTATGTATGTAAATACAATATGTATTTACAAATTGTATGTATGTAAATACAATAATATGCTATTATTGTATTTACTTATGTAATTTTTGCTTTGGTGTTAATTTTTTTTTTTAATTTTTTTCTGTGTATGCATCACCAATTCATTCCCAAATCTGCTATGAGGAAGTATGAGGATAAGTCAAAAAGTATTGCTATAGAGGAGTTCTAATTCATACATGCACAGGAGGTTTATTCTAAACAAAACATGTTTAAATATGCTTCTGTGATCACTGGAGGGCTGCAGACAACTTTTCTCAGTAATGTAAGTTTGATTAGGGTGCCTTCCCCAAAAAATTTTTCAGAAAATTTAAAACTGCATTGCTGAGAAAAAAGTCCAGGAAAGTTGCACTGAGGAATTTTTTTCCCCACCATGACAATACACCTGCTCATTCAAGGATAGCAAGGGGTATCTTACGAAAATTTCACTGGGAAACCTTAATTCAGCCACCCGACAACCCTGATCTTGCCCCTTCAGACTTCTTTTTGTACCAAAACCTTAAAGAACATTTCAGAAGAACAAGATTTAAGTCACATGAGGATGCCATAACTGCAGTTTGAACTGCAAGGTCAGTGGTTCAAGCTCACCCGCTGATCCTCGGAAACCCTATACAGGGTCGCTATGGGTCAGAACTGACTCGACGGCACTTAACAACAAACAGAGAACGTAGAACTCTTCTGGATAGGGTTATAGAAATGAAAATACCACCTTCCAAAGTGTATAGAGTTAGATGGGGAGGATATGTTGAGAAATAGTAACTTCACATTTTGATATTTTTGTTTAATAAAAGCTTCTATGATTTTATAGCAATACTTTATTTATACAAATACATATCAGGAATTTGTTTCTTATTGGAGACATCCCTCCTCTACTCTGCACCTGCTTCAATTTGTACTGGCTGCCTTGTAAGTTTGCTCTACATCTGTTGCTATGGGATTTCCTATAACTCAACTAATTTCTTTCACGTCCTTCGTTGGACCCCATTTTTCTTGAGTCCTTTTTCCTCCTTTCTTGTTTCTCTCATTTTTGTGGGCAAGAAGACTACTAACTTCTGAGAATGGGTGCCTGGGAGATACATTTTTTGAGACCTTGTATATCTGAAAGCATCTTTATTCAGTCCTTAAACTTGATTGCTAGTTTGGTTTTTGTAGACTTTTAGCCTCTTTCAGACCTGAAGACACTGCTTCATTGTCATTGTTGAGAATCGAATGCCATTCTGATTCTTTCATTGTCCTTGTAGTTTTTCCCTCCTAACCACTTGTAATTTTATTGGGGTTTTGGGTGAGAGCAGAAATAATTTTGTGATTTCAAAGGTCCTATTTAAACAGAAATTCTGGGCTGGGCATTTTACATGCAAGATATAAATAGTTAATCTCTTAGAAAAGATTACAGCAGAGTTTCAAATCCAGGTATTTCTGACTCCAAAACAGGGCTTTAAATCTGATCTTCTTGGTTTAGTCATGGTCGAGGAAGTGAAATTGGAATACAGCTGAATTTGTAAAATTCTGGTGAACCGGGATGATAAAATGGAAAAAAATCATTGGTTGACATCCTATTAGAAAAGTATTCTCTCTCATAAAACAAGAATAATATTTACATTGCATACCAATCAAATCTCTTGACTGGTAGTCAAGTTACAAAGATGATGGCCAACTATGTAGCTTTGAGTGTATGTTGCTCTCCACAGATCTGGCAATAAGTAAGTCTCCTGAAAGGGCTCACTTCTGCCTCTTTCCAGTCTCCTATTCCAGGTCTTTAACCTATTTTTATTGCCTCAGCCGTGACTGAAACCCTGTTTGAAACCCTGCTCCAAGGCTTTTTCGTTGTGTCTCACACTTACTGTAAACAATGCTCATCTCCTCATCCCGAAAATTTGTATTTTAGTTAATACTGTACTCTTATTTGTAGTTAACATAGTAGAATAATATTGGCAGTTTATGTAGATGTACCACATTTGTGTACGCCTCTAAGAGTACTCTGGAGTACTGGTGTGGCGCTGTGTGCTAATACGTCAGACTGCAAAGTCGTTTGAACTGCAAGGTGGGTGGTTCAAGCTCACCATCTGTTCCTTGGAAATCCTATACAGGATCACTGTGGGTCAGAATGGACTCGACTGCACTAAATAACAACAACTAAGAGTACTCTGGTCTAAGATAAAGGAATTTTAGCTTAGTCTTTTTACAGAAGTGCATGCAAAGACCCAGCCAATGACTGGCATAGTTGGGCTAGAATTTAGGTAAGCTGATCACCTTTTTTCCATTACTGCTTAGCTTTCCCCCAACATTTCAATATGAAAAATTCCAAATGTAGAGGCTTTGAAAAAAACCATAGTAAATACTCATAAACCCAGCACTTAGAATCTACAATTGCGAAGTCATCCATTAATCTCTGATCACCTTTTTAAAAATCCCTTATTGCTTTTTAAGTATTTTCTATTAGACTCTTTCTAGTATTTGCCCCCATTTATTTGGGCTATTAATCCAGAGAATGAATGGGGAAATTCCAGTCGTGGAACAACTTGGCAAAATTAACCAAGTATTTGAGGACCCACTAGGTGTTTAGGCCATGATGGCGAATACGATAGAATATATATTCTGAGAGAATTTATAACCTAGTTGTAAGAGACAGCATACAAGGAACACTTAATGAGCACATTAGAAGTTCTTCCTGATCTAACGTAGAAATATGAATTGTTTATAATACTGCAAAGTCTTAAATGGGAAATTCATTTTTAACCCTCAATATTTATATTATATACAGAAAAAAAATTATACTGTTAAAAATTAACAATTCAGTCTATTAAGTCAGTGTTTCCTGTTTTTTTTTTTTTCCCTTCCATAAGGGGTTTGCATGATGTACAATTCAAAAAAGGGTATTTGAGGGTAAGTAAAAATATAGTGCTATAAATTATTTATATTAAAACATCAAAATGTGAAGTTTTTGTTTCTTGACATCTAAGTATAGTCTGAAGGTAGTGTTCAGTCTCAACCTTTCTCAAAGAAGTCCATGTTCAATTTATGCCATCTCAAAACAGCATCTTTGAGGGACTGAAACCATGTTATTTTTAAATGGTCTTTGTTTTGGGAACCAAAAAAATTTCTGAAGGGGGAACCTCAGGGCTGTGTGGTTAGTAGGGTATGGTTTTCCAACCATATTCTGATAGGGAAGGCTTTGGTTCCCTTGAAGAATGAGCAGGTGCATTGTCATGATGGGGGAAAAAACAAAAAAACACTCTTGGCACAACTTTCATTGTCTTTCTAACTATTGCAGTTTTTTTATTTTCTTAAAAGTATTCATAATAGCCTCCATGATAGTCCTATGTCCTTCAAAAAATGTATTAATCATTGAATTGGTTCCCACTCATAGCAACTCTGTATAGGGTTTCTGAGAAGTGGCTGGTGGCTGTTGACTTTGTGGTTAGCAATTCAGTATTTATCCTATAGCACACCAGGACTCCAGAATTCCAGTAACAGTTGCCAATAACTTTTTTGAGCTGACTTCTCTGCCTTGAATTTAGCTGGCCCAGCAGATCCCTTTAGAAGCCACTGTTAATGACTGGATCTTTTTTCCAAGGCAGAAACTAAGATGGTGGAATTCTGGTGTGGCGTGGGTTAATGCGCCAGACTGCAAAGCCGTTTGAATTGCAAGCTCACCAGTCACTCCTTGGAAACCCTATGCAGGGTCGCTATGGGTCAGAACCAATGGCACTTAACAACAACAACTAAGATGGTAGTTTACTACTGAGAGAACTTGTCTGCAGCCATCCAGGGATTGTAGACGTTTCAATCTTTTGTTAACACTCTTGTATAGTGAGAATGCTTTGTCCTATCTCTGTCTACTGTCTGTCAATTTTTCTCCCCAGAAATAACTACTGTTAAGACTCGTATCCTTCAAATTAGAAGCTTCCAAGTCCTGAGGTAAGGAGCTCTGGTAGCGTAGTGGTTACTAGTCGGGCTGTAACCCAACTAGGGTTACAAGATCAGTAGTTCGAAACTACCCCCTGTTCCACGGGAGAAAGATGATGTTTTCTAATCCTGTAAAGATTTACAGCCTCAGAAACCCTATACA